ACACAATATTTTGGGGAACACAATACCACCACAGGTTTCCACGAGTATGGCTGGTAACCTCTGCACATTTTTCCCTGAACATCGCCTGCACACGAAGGCCGTCCCCCCCAACCTCTCTCCTTGATCAGATGCCCAGAGTTCAGCCTGGCCCCCGGCCATGGATCTCTGCATCTGCTTCCATCAGTCACTGTATGAAGGCTCTGCGATGAGAGCTAGAGTATTCACTAGACAGTCGCCCAAGTAGACCAGTCAGAAAAATGGTGCTAGCATGACTGGATGTCAACATGAAGAAGACTGCAAATAGATCCATATCTGTCACCATGCATAAAACTCAAATCCAAGTGGATCAAAGACCTCAACATAAATCCAGTTACACTGACCTTGATAGAAGAAAAAGTTGGAAGTGGTCTTGAACACATTGGCACAGAAGACCACTTCCTAAATATGATACCAGTAGCACAAATACTGAGAGCACTTTTTGTCATTTAATCATATTATTATAATTTTTAACAACAACAAATGAGGTAACAATACAGTAAGAAATCCAAAAAACACTAACATCCTGGGTTTACATCTTCCGAGGATCACATGGGGCCAGAGGAGAAGAAAGGCCTGACAGAGGGATTGACTGTGCCAGGAGCATATTTGTGTATGAGAGAACTCTTGGCAACTGTTCAGGAATCTTAAACTACCCTCCTCACAATCGAGGAACACACCAATCTGGCCCAGTGGTCTCTCTATATAGGGCTGAAATACTGTGCATGTGGTGAGGAGACTGTAATGATCACCCTCCTTCACACACACAAGAAGAAAGGCACCCTCAGATTCAATGAGTTGGTTTCTGTTGCTTATCCAGGAATCCTTACAGACCCCCACAGCACAGTCCGAGGAAGAATTGTTCAAATCCACCTCCCAGTAATATTTAGCTTTGATGAAGCAGTTTGATCCCCAGGAAGCCAAATAGGATCTAGCAGAATCCACAGATCTATCCTCACCGTGAGGTCTGAAGCTGCATCTTCTCATGACATTGAAGAGCTTCACATTGCTAGGGTATATGCTTGTAAATTTAAAGACAAAGTTGAATTGTAAACGGCTGTAGTTTTCAGTCAGTCCACTGATGGGTAGAAAGCTGAGCTCTAGATTCAGAGTCTGGGGCATGCTCAGCTGCTACTGCATTGACTCACTCCTCCTGAACACGTCATCCAAACCCTGGAGCAGTAGCTCATGTGGCTCCTGGGACATTGCCATCAGCTTCTGATATATTTCTCTTAGCTGTTGGCTCTTTTCGACCATCATGGCTTCCCTTCTCCTGAGATTCTCTAAAACACGTTGGCCTTCATTTTGCATAGACTCGATATGTTGCTCTTCCTCTTGACCCTAGACAGGACACAGTCTCCTGTACTCTGCTCTGACCATTTGCTCCCACAGTGTCAAGTAGTTTATCCACAGAGTTGTCCTTCTGTTCTCTGCCTCTATATTCCCTTTATTTTCTTGGATCTCCTCCCACAAAGATGCCATTTGCTGTAAAAGTCTTTCCATTTGCTCCTCAGCAGCTACTTCGATGGGACCGTGTTGGTGACCTCTGTGCTCATGGGAGTCAGAGCAGAGTTGACAGAGGTAGCTCCTGTTCTCAACACAGAAGATCCTCTTTGTCTCCTTGTGGGTCACACATTTATGCTCCTCAGAGCTCAGGTACTTCTTGAGGCTGGCTTGTCTGGCAATGGACACCAGCTTCTTCAGAACAGTGTTGCTTCTGAAGTCCTTCTGCTCGGATGGTTCCCTACACATAGGGCAATGGACAGGAAGCTGGATGTCTTCCCAAGAAAGGTGGAGGCAGGCTTGACAGAAGCTGTGGCCACAGCTTATGGTGACTGGGTCTGTAAGGCAGTTGAGGCAGATGAAGCAGGTGAGTTCTTCCTGGAAGGCTTGTGACATGTCTGACTTCATTTCTCCACAACTTGTCTCTAGAGTCAGCAATATTGAGTCAGGACAGAATAATATTAGTTCAGTTCTGGGGTCCAATCCTCAAGGTGTAGGTGTGGGTAGAACTAGCAGTCTCTGGAGCCAGAATGTTTGGAAACACACTCTGTCAGGACTGGTGAGGAGTGAACCTGGCTGGCTTTTGGAGTGTCCTGTTATGGTCTCCAGAGACCACGCCCACTTCTTCCCATGTCCCTTTCCATTGGTGAGTTCTAAATGGATGGAAGACTGAATTAACTCTGAGGCCAAGTTCCACTAGCAAATCTCCACAAGGTTTCCCTAGTCACTGCTTAGCTGGGTGTGGTAGCTCACACCTTTAATCCCAGAATCCTAGGGAATGGCCTGCTGAATTGGGAGGAGGTTTAGTTCAAGGCCTGACTAGCCTAAACACTGAGAACTTGTGTAAAAAAAAAAAATGAGTAATTTTGCTACAATAGTTTACTGTTTCTAAATATTTTGTGGTGTGCTTATATTTTTGCTTTTCCTTTTACAATTTAACAGATAATGATATCAATCTGTGATTCGAGCAAATATCGACATGAAAAGATTCTTACTAGTTCTTTGATAATTTTGGTCAAATTATTTTTATCATATTCACTTCAACTGCAACTTCTTTGAGATTCATGCTCTTTCTCTACCCACTGTTAGAACTCTCTGTTCTATTCTTTTTTCTTTTTTTAAAAATACATGTTTGGGAAGCCGGGTGGTGGTGGCTCATGCCTTTAATCCCAGCACTCTGGAGGTAGAGGCAGGCTGATCTCTGAGAGGTCCAGGACAGCCTGCTCTACAGAGTAAGTTCCAAGACAAGCTCCAAAGATACACAGAGAAACCCTGTCTCAAAAA